GTACACGAGGGTAGAAAGCAAAACGCCCGCTTTTCGGTCTGGAAATATGGTGAAAACACGCGTCCCCGTTATTCGCTAAAACGTCGATTCGCTCAAATGGCGCTTTTCGCTAAAACGTCATTTGGTCATGTGACATAAGCCCAAGTAAAACAAATTACATTTCACTACCTACAAAAAAAAAAAAAAAAAAAACACGTTCCTTGGGAATACTTCGGAACTTTGCGTTCACAACACAACATTTCTCGGTTTCATCTTAGATGATCAGTTAAATTGGCACGCTCACACAAAAAACATACAAAAATATGTTTTTTTTTTTTTTACAAATTACGTTATATAATATCTTCAGAAACCTATCTTAAATCTATATAACTGCTTTATACATAGCCATATTTATTGTATAATTACGTTGTACGGACTAACGTTTAAAACAACAATGAAACATGTACAGATTGCCCAAAATGCTGCATGGAAGCAGTGTTTTTTTTTTTTTTCTATGCTAGGGTTAACATTATTTTCGGTTATAGCTTATTAACATTTTCACTGTTCAACAACATCCAGAACACCGTATATCCACATTAACTTTCAAGCTTCTCTAGAATCGTGTACACAGCCCCTCGATACTACCCACTCCCATCATGTACGCGAATGTCACTCATTGTTCCGCAAATTCAAACTAACTACGGTGCTTTTTCCTTTACATATGTAGCAACAAAAAGATCGAGCCTAAGCACTTCTTACGAGTTGTGAATGCGAAAGCATGCAAGAGCCGCCTCGGTGGCTCCGAGGCGAGAGCGCCGGCCTACGGATCCCCAGGTGGCGGGTTCGAATCCCGACCGAGGTGCCCGCAATGTGACGGAGGCTTATTGCGGAGAAGGCGCCGTGTAACCGAGCTTTCGGTTGCACGTCAAAAGATCCCCGGGTGGTCGAAATTAATCCTCAGTCCTCCGCTGGGGCGTGCCAGATGCCCGTCGTAGGTTTCGCACGTAAAACTCCCAAATTTTACTTTTGAAAGCATGCAAGCCGCTCGTCCGCTCCCTTTGTCGTCTGCTGCGTACTTTTCGTCGCCGGTCGGCGCGCGTGCTCCCCCGAGCACGCTGACCTTGGACACTCCGTGCCCAGGGAAGCAACGGCGCGCTGATGGACACGCAGCGCCATGGGGTGAGCGGTCGTGGAAACTGACGAGCGCAGCGGCCAACGGGAGCCCCGTCCACGCGCGCCAGCCAATGGAACCGAAGGCGAAATCCATCAGCCTTACTTCGCTCCTAATGGGATCGGGGAAACTAGGTGCCGTTTTCGCGCTTCAAACTGATGACGTCAGCACGCTCCATGAGACCCAGTTAATGCTCTCGCATTAAAACAAGGAACGCTCTACCGGAAAGTATAACATCGATGTCACGTTTTTGAACATTCACCCTCGCCTTGCTGTCATATATTCGCTCTCAAAGTTCACTGGAAAGAAACCGACCCATCTTCTGCTGATTCCTTCCCATTTGTTTTTTTATTCATTCATCTGTTCTGAACTAGCATTGAAGATAAAACTGCCTGCCGTTCATTTTGTACGGATCATATCAAAACTATGCTCTCTTCAAACAAGTGAAGGCTTGTTTGGACATTTGCGACTTCTTAAGACCGAGTGCCTCGGAACCTTTTAATATCTCTTACGACGAGAGGACACACTGGCGCCATCTATTGGACAGTAGTGTAAACTTGGCGTTCCCGCATATTTTCTGTTTTTCCCGCGCATTATCCTTTCTTTCTTGGCTCGAAAAACTCATAGGTATTACGCACATTTGACCTCGGAAATCCCGCGAAACCTTCGCTCTCGTGAAATGCAGTTCCAGGGTCACCGCATAGATGGCGCCACCGTGCCAGTGTGTTCTCTTGTCCTAAGAAAATTTAAAAATTTTCAAGAAGTCTCGTCTATCTCGGTCATACTCGGCTGCAAGTGCGTGAACGGACCTTTAAACACATGTCGCATACTAAAGGAGTTTGGTTTGTTCTTTATTATTACTAGCATAAGAAGCGCGTAAACAATCAGTGTCGTCATTCGTTTTCTCGTCTTTTAAAATTAATTAGTTCTATGTATCGTTATTTAGCGAATCGGGGGTCCCTTAAACAATATGTTAAAACACCTGAGACTAGGTGTAAAAGCCTCGATACAATCAAAAGTGGAAGAGAGAGGGAAAGGAGTCCGTCAAACGACGTCTCAATGATTCAACACTGATTGAAGCTTTCGCGGTCCTGGGCGAGTTGGGACGTCGCCTGGTTGAACTGGAAGCCGAAGTGGCCTTTTGTGGCATATGCCTGCGGAAGAAGTTCGTTGACCCTGAACTCTTTAAACACCTGTCCACACCTGCTATTCCTTGGTCCACCAGGAAGAAGATTTTGGAGACCAACAAGGAGGGAACAAGTGAAAGGATTCTGGACGTCCGCAACGCCAGTGCAAGGCTGTGGTTTCTACTTCTGAGAAAGGACTTCGAGCATCACAGAGGCCATCACCAATGGAACGACGTCAAGAGGACCCACTTCAAGGGGAATTGGTGCACAAAGCGGAAGCATGTTTTCAACAGCGTGAAGATGTTAAACACTTGTGGAGGCCAAGTCGGAAAGATGGTGCATTAAAATGATGGGTGGCAGAAGTGTGAAGGGTTTGCTGTTCTGCGTTCAAGCTTCTCTCGTGGATCCATGTAAAGAAGTTGTATCTAGAAAGACTGAAGAGTTTCTGGGTAAGGGGCCGAGTTTCGTCTAAATGTGAAGCCGACAAGATTGGATTAATTGAAACGTCCTATAACTGACTTCATTCCCTGTCTCTTCTACTTGTGGTTGTATCAGGGTTTTTTCACACCCAGTCTCCGATGTTTTACCATAATGGTGAACTTACACCAGCTCGCCGGCGCCCTCACTGTGTGTACCTTAAAAAGTTTTCTCTAAAAATTTTTTTATAACCTTGCCCACACATAGTTTGTACTAAAACTGCTAGTGCCAAAATAAACTTTAAGTTAATAAATAAAAAGCGTGTTTTGACGATCTTCAATAAACTCGGAGGCGCACGGAATGTTTTGCGAATGAGCTGGGCACATGCTGTGTGCAACGGCTGTGTGTGTGGGTGTGACGTCACCCAACTTGACGTCAAGTCCGAGTGCCATGTCCGGTCATCATGTCACGAGACACCCTAATGTCGAAGTCATAAAGCAATCGTCAATTATAACGCGTTATCTCGAAACCCAGCCCTATCACATTCTGCGTTAAAAAAAGTCACGTATATTACGTATATTATTTAATTGTTGTATCTTATTATTATGACACGAAAAATATGCCTGTTTTGTATATGTTACCTGTGCGCGCGAGTGCGCATGTACGTGCGTGTGCGCGTGCGTAATCGAAAATGTGCAGATGAATGAACCGTACACTCGATCGATAGAGCCTAGGAAGCGGCCGAAACACAAAACTCTTGGGCGGAGGCGGGACTCGGTGCCCTCAGGACCCCTGTGCTTCTTCGAGCGGCTGCCGAAAGTCCTCGATGCGGTAGGTCTCCCGGCAGCGTCGCAATGCAGCAGAACTGCACGCTTCGTCTGATCACCTGCTGATACGGTAGGCAGAACTAAAGTCACTGGATCCTGGGAGCGTATACGGCTTTCCCTGCCTGCTACCTGGACACAAACAGGTACTAACGTACAGACGACAACAACCGCGCAAGGCGATTGGCTAATCGGTCTCCGTTGCCATGGCAATGGACATTCAAATCCTTCGACAGAGTCGTTTTAAGGCAGTCGCAGCAAGATAACCACGGAGAATCATCGTACCGAAGGCGCTTCTCGCCAACGTAATCGTCTTTGGCACTGGGTATGCAATCAACTTATCAATCACGCCCATCTCCAGGGATATCTTATAATAATATTGTTGTTCTCCGAGTATTTAGAAAATTACTTTCGACGCCTCCAAGCACCGACACCCAACCTGGTGCCGGTACGAAGACGATACGGTTGCTCCGCCGGTGTGTGGGTAGCAAAATCTCGGTACAGGAGAAACGTACCCGTCACCGGCGAATTTAGATTGACTCGCCAAGAATGGAGAGATCGAGAAGAAATTGCTCATTTGATGAGCCAAAATGGCGACCATGCACGGAGCTGGGCGCTACTGTCGCACGATCCAGTAACTTTACGCGGAATAATACGGCAGTGTTTGCTGGCAGAAAAATCCGAGGCATCGCCCGGCGTCGGCCGGTTTCACCGCTCCTGACGAGCGATCCATTTCACGCTCGATTCCCTCAACGTTCGAAAATGAGATGGCCGCACCACCCCGCCCTGTTTTTCTGGCGACTCCTATCCGTCTTATTAATGCACCGAAATGTATCCCATTAAAGGTGTTCCGGACGCACACGCCGCCACGCGGAAAACGGTACGACTCTCTCCACATGGCACGTGTGCGTGGTACGAGCTCGCTGTGCTCCGGAATTCCTCTCACTGTTTGCCTCGCCGGGTGCACCCGTGTTATTTCGTGTTTATGTGCTTTAAACGGTATCATCATCTGCGAGAATCGAGGCCACGTTTGAATATATCACGAGAACTTTCATCGTCGTACCGTAATCGAAAATATGCAGATTAATGATTGAATGTATGTTCGATCGAATATATGCATGTATGTATGCATGCATGCGTGGATATATATGCATCCACATGCATATGTATATGAATGCGAGATCAATGTAACCAGTTCGCCCAACCAGGGTTGCGCGGACGTGCTCAAAAAACAATCGCCGTCAAAAAGCGCGAACACGTTGGAACGAAAGATGTTCGATATTTAAGTGGCCGCGATACGAATGAAAAAGCTTAATAATTCCACTGCACCGATCTCAAACACTTTTTTAAACGTCGCTAGCAGGCAATCGATAATACTACCCTGCTTATGTCCCAAGCTGAACAGGATCGCTCGCGCGCTGGTAACGATCCGCCAAAAACACCATTCATCGACCTTCCCTTCATGATTGAAAGAAGACTCACTTGGAATGAACTTGTTTGTTTCAGCAGGCTGCCTTCCTTGACGCAGACCTGGAGAGCACAGAAAGGTTGGGGATTAGTCACTCGCAAAGAGTCGATTCCTTAACTGGACACACGCAATAAAAAGTCAGGCATGTTCACGAATTATCGCTCGGTAAGTGAAGATCGGTGCAATCCCGAACAAAAAGAAACGCGACCGATGGAGCGACAGCCCCTCACTCTTGTCGCATCGCTGAACGGTCGGTCGCCAGCGGATGCTCTCGCGCTGCCTGGGGTGCGCTTCCGAGGGTATTTCAGTTTTCCGCCAGATTCGTGAAGTTGTCAGTAAGGCACGCGTCTTTCGTGTACCAAATAATAATAAAAAAATCAGTTTAGTTTCTTTATTTTAGTGAAAAAGGAAGACCAGCGAACCTGTACGCTCGTCCCGTGTGTTTCTTCTTCGTCCTCGTCTGTTTTGAGCGCTGTTTCCTACGGTAAGGCAGACATGCAACATATCTTATGGAAGTCCCCATATATCGTACCTAAGGTATTTAAGACAATTAACGAATGGGAGGCCGCGGTTGTAAGCCCCACCAAGGACACCCAACTCGCCATCGTACAACTCGCGGAAAGAGAAGTGCAACCCAAGACCTGGATCCTTTAGGACTCGAGGGGACCACTTCCCAACACCAACTGAGCAACACAGGCACGAAGGGGAGCCCGGACTCAACAGACTTCGGAATCCATCTTCCTTTGGGCCCAATAAAGTCTTTATTCATTCATTCATTCATTCATTCCCACCAACTCGCCCAACTATCCATTCTTCCATGACAGCGGGAAAGGTTGCCGCCATCTATGAGCGACGACGGCAACCAGACTCGTCTGGTTGCCGCCGTCTTTTATAGATGGCGGTAGCTGCCCAGAGTTTTGTGTCGACATTTGTTTGGTACCGGACACAAAACTGGGGAAACTAGTCCTTAACAGCTCCGCTGTAAAAAAGAAATATTAGCTTTAGACTGATATTAGTGATATGACGTTTCACCCAGTAATGTGCGACTGATAAAAGGGTTATTATGTGTCATCACGGGGCATCCGAAATGTTTGTACCGCATCGCAACACGATGAAGGCGTAAAAACTCTCTGGTCGGCCGAGAGAACATGTCAAGCCTTCTACCTGCGTCTTGTGCACGCCAAGTCTCTGCCCGCTCTTACCGTTGACCAAACTCTATATATACGGCTCTGGGTACAGACAATAGGAAGTATTCATTGGCGGCCATAGCTGCGTGCACGACTGCTGAACGCGTGCTGATGGCGAGCTTCCGCAGTTCTTTTGTAACGCGCATTCCGCACCCTCAAGATTGCCGGTCTTAGCAGCCTTTTGATGTGGGCTCGTTCAGAGCATGCGCTCTAGACATCACCCATAAATATGGCGCCCAGTGAATACTCCTTATAGCATCCATCCATCCATCCATACTAAGGATCGCTTCCTGCGCGAAGCATGTGGTTGGATCCGATTTCGCGGCATTCGCGTCGAATAAGCTTGAACCCGAGTACGCACCAAACTCGGACGTGCTCAAAGGCTTTCTCGAAGTGCACACCCAAAATATGGCGGCTTCGGAGTAGCACGAACTCTTGAAAAGGGGAAAGCTCTCCGCAACACGCGTATACGACATCCGGAACTGCAGACAACGCTAGCAGTGCGCATGCGCAATAGCGAAACTCGCAACCGTGCAAAGCCACGTTGAGAATAGAGACGGGGCTCCAATGGCAGTCAATGCCTCCTCGATAGCAATGCCGTAGTGCTGGATCCTCCACGTCGCAAAAAACCAAGTAAATCACCCATTGAATATTGCTCGTGTCGCGTTTGTTCCAGCCCTTAATTTTAGCTGTACCGTCGCAGTCAAAACTGGATAATGTCAGTTGTCCTTATAATTCAGCTATCTTATTACAGCGATAGCTATTGGCGGCGCGTGCGAACTACAGGGGGCGCGTCTCCAGCTATCATCGTCATCGTTTGTGACGTCACGGGTAGGACAGACTGGGACAGACCGCGCACATCATGGATCGCTCGGCTGGTCAGCTCGCTTCATGCGCTGTTTGGGTAACGGGCGGCAAAGCCTGTTTCACGGGTTGTGTTCATTGGATGAAGTGATATTTGTCGCAGGGCATTTTATCATAGCTTGAAACGGTGGCTCGCATAGTCGTGGTCACAAACACTTTTGGCGCTGCGGTGTCGAAGCGCTCAAATGGTGGTGTGCTCTTCTCTACCCCACTACAAAAAGATACACGATAAAAATAGAATATACAGCGCTTTACCTCACTACAACATCTACCATGGTGAATAGGGGGTATTTTTTTTTTATCGTGATAAGGACAAACTTACACTGAGAAAGGAATGTCTCATCAAATTAAAAATAGGAAAGCGAAATTTGATAACCTCTCGCGAGCGTTGTAAACACTTCAATGAAAGCAACTCCGCGTGTCCTGTTGGTTTGTGTTTTGTGAGATCTCGCCTCTTATCAGTTCCAAGTTGATTCCTTTTGGAATTTTGTAAACCAGTAAACAAGTATTTGCTCACAATATTTGTCAGGAAGAAGGGTTGGCTGCCTTCCGGAGTCGTTTAAACTAATCACTGTATATTCACCCGGTCGACACGAAATGTGCGAGGCCCACTCGCAATCAAAGTCTGTTAAATCCAGAAAGTCGGTGATACTTTCCAGCGTCCCAAAAAATAAGGCATTTATTTATTTGATACCCACAGCGCCTTTCGGCATTACAGTGGGGGGGTTATACACAAAAAATCAAGAATGAAGTCACAGGTACTACATTGGAAACATTCATAAAAAGACAACCAATCGAACAAAAAGGATTTCGCGAACATGAAACAACAAAGTTACAACTATCGCGACACACGGAGAAGATTGCAACAAGTTTTACAAAAAACATTATTAGAATCATGCTATGAACCTTTTCAATCGAATGACGTGACTGTTTCTAGGGCAGCATAAAAAGCATCATTGTCTATAACAGACGCTATGGTTGAAGGCAACCGATTCCATTGGGAAATCGTTTTAGGGAAGAAAGAGCTACTGTATGCTACAGTTTTGCATCTAAGCTCACGCACTTTGTGGGCATGATCCACACGAGCAGATACATAATGTGGTGAAGAAATATAGGTTTCGCATGGAATACCAGATTGTGAATGACATATGCTATGGAAAAGCTTTAAACGAAGCTTTGCTCTGCGGTGCTCGAGTGTGTCTCATTTTAATGTTTGTCTTGCACGCGTCGCGCTAAAATCACCACCCCGTTATGAATTACTACTGTTTGTATGTTTATTTTTTGCGGACATAAATGCGCATAAGACGTGATGCGCTGCTCGGCGAGTAATTTTAAATCTGTAAACAATTCTTAGTAAAGATTGCATAGAACCAATTAATCAATCGCCTGAATTTGCCGTGCCATGTCCGACAAGTAAAGAATTTATGAAAATTTCTGCTTTTCTATCGAGCAGAAGTCGCGATGTGACAAACTTTCTTGCCACGTATTCAATGCGGGAGGAGCTAAGCGTCAGCAACTGTTCATTCACACTTGGATAGAAGCGTCGGTACCGCGGCAAGCTCAATGTGGCTAAAACAAGTGTGCAACAGAACTGTAGGCGGGCACACCGCTAAGAAGACCGTCACGTCATTTACTCTGGTGAATGCAAAACCTTTCTGTACAACAACTTCCACAACCCCCCCCCCCCCCAAAAAAAAAAAAAAAAAAAGAAAAAAGGAAGAAGAATTAGAGAGGCTGTGGAGAGCCCTGACGCACGCCGCGCGAGCTGTAATGTGAAGCTCCAGGGTTGTTTTCGAACATTTTATATTTTTAAATATAAAAAAAAGCAACTTTGGGGCGTTGTTATTCATTAGATCACTAACAAAAACGTCATACACGTTTCTTTAAATAATAGACCGTTTTTATTCGGCATAGATGCGAACTAACAAAGCCACTCAATGCTCTAACACAGCGTGCCGTCTGCTCGCATCCTACCAGCGCCGTCCCAGGAAAGCGCCCGCGAGGTGGCGCCACAGGAACGTCTCGTCGCATTTCCATCGCTTATCACCCGGGCGAAAAATGCTGAGTCACTGAGCTGTACACGCATGCGCAGTGTCCAATATACCGCACAGCAGAGCAACAGCGCATGCTCACAAGGCGTTCCACACAAAAATGGCAGCGCGCAGAAGCCAATTTTTGTAACGCCTTCTGCGCGATTTTTGCAAAAGGCGGCGAAAAATCTGAAAATACTACTAGGGAGAGCGCTACTAAACATAAGGATTTTGCGGCGTTATTCCGATGCAGAGCTTGTAAGTGACAAAGAAAATATTAACCAATCCTAACCAGAGACACAAAGAAAATGCGCAATGTTTGTCTTTTGAATACAAAGTGAAAACACGAGAGGTAAGAGGAACATTTATAAAATAATTATAACAGTATAGTTACTCGACAGAAAACGAAGAGAACTCAAATTCTGTCGCTCCTTTTTAACGGTAGAAACGCCAACACAAAATTGCCGTCTGCAACTAATGGCCGGAAACTGCTGACGCCCGCTTTTTTTTTCCCCTCTTTAAATGTGCGTGCGGCAGTTTGGACGAAAGAGTTACTAACGGCTTCGCTTTGTAGAATATACATACAAGTATAGAAACAATAACTCGACGTAAAAATGCATGCTTTTTACAAAGCAGAAGAAAAGACAGCGCGTTTCTAACACCCAGAGTAATTCCATCGTCCCCAAATTGCGGACTGCAGCGTCTTTCCCCCAAAACAGTTCGTTTCTCCCGGTTCCCGGTAGTGCTCGCAGGCAATGCGAAAGGTCACCGCGAGCCTCGTCCCGCCCCTCTACATTTGCCTCCCCCAAAACTAGGGAAGCAATTAGGCCTAATGGGTATAACGGTCCCTCACCCGCGTATAGCCTCGTACCCGGAGCCCAGTTCCCCAAACACAGAACCAAATTTGACCCTTCACAAACTTGTCTCCTCTTTTCCCCCAAACTACCTTCCCTAAAAACCCTTCCCCTTATAACGCATCAA